GTATTGAACAGCTTTACATCATCAGCGAAGAGAACGCAATTGCTCTTAATATGATCACAGAGGTCGTTTATGTAGAGTATGAAGAGAGTTGGTCCTAGAACACTGCCCTGAGGGACACCACTATTGACAGGTACTGGATTTGATAGGACTCTCCCGATTTTGACCATTTGTTGTCTGTTTGATAGGAATGCTTCTATCCAGTTATTCAGTTGTCCAGATATACCATAGGATTTTATTTTTAGGAGTAGTTTGTCGTGTACCACTGAATCAAAGGCTTTACAGAAGTCTATGTAGATTGCGTCTATTGCTTTGCCCTGGTCGAGTTGAGTCGTCCATATGTTTTTGCAGTGTAAGAGTTGCAGATTACAGGATAGTTTTTTTCTGAAACCAAATTGTTTATTGGAGAGTAGGTTGTTTGTCTCTAAGTGGAGGATGATGGATTGGTTAATAATTGATTCCATGACTTTGCAGGTGACGCAGCATAAGGAGATTGGTCTGTAATTTTCAACTAGGCTTAGGTCTCCCTTTTTGAAGATGGGGATGACTGTGGCTTGTGACCATAGGTTAGGCAAGGAGCTGGTCCTGAAAGATTTTTCAAAGATTATGCTTAGAGGTTTGGCTATGGCAGTGGATATCTTTCCTAAGAAGTAGGCACATATTCCATCTGGTCCAATAGATAGGGATGGTTTTAGATTGCGTAGTGATTTTTCAACATTGTCTTCTGTGAAATCGATATGTATTAGGTCATTGTTGTTATCTGTGGTACGGTTAGGAAATACTGGGCAAGATCCATTGCTGTTTACAAATACTGAGCCGAAGAATGTGTTAAAGATGTTGGCTTTAATGGTTAATTAGTTAATTAACCATTAAATGGTTAATATAATTAATAATAAAATGGTTAATTTAATTAGTTCTGTTTCACTTTTTGTCTTGTAATGGCTCCGGTCTCTCCTTGTGCCTGAAGATGTGTCCTACTTTCTTCTCTCTCCTGTTGTAATTGAGTTGATTTCCTTGATTTCCTAAAGATCCATCTCTGTTCTTATGATAGCCTTGATATTCCTGGGAGTTCGTTTCCAGTTCATCCTTACTGCTCTGGTCTTCCGGGCCTACCAACCGTTCATAAATTCCTGGGCCTTTTCCATAGAGTCTATTTTGATTTTCCTCTCATCCCAAGAAACTAACATCCCCTCTGGGATTAGCCATTTAAATATGATTCTTTTCTGATTTAGGTAAAATGCTAAGAATTTATAATCTCGTCTTTGTTCTCTTGCTCTTCTTGGTATTTGTTTGAGAACCAAGACTTCTCTGCCTTTACACGTGATTGATTCATCTCTTGACATCCTATGTATGATATCCCGGACACTCCTTCTTGCAAATCATATATGGACTTCTCTTGGGCATTTATGGCATCTTGCATAATTAGTGCTAACCCTGTAAACTTCATCAAACTCCCTCAAGATGTCATCTTTATCCTTTTCCAATAGTCCAGCCAATATTCCTACCATTAGTTGTCCCAAGTTTTCTTCTTTTGATTCCACTATATTTTGGAATCTCAAGTATGTAGCAGCCTTATCCATCCCTAGGTAGACCAGTGAGTCCTCCATTTCTTTACTCACATTCTTTAAATGTTCATCTACTCTTTCTAATTTCCTTTCAGTTCGTTCAGTCCTTTTCTCTACCTCTTTTATTGTTACCCAACTTTGTTCTCTACTTTGGAGATATCCGCTTTCATTTCTGCTTTTAATTTCCCAATCTCCTCTTTTAATTCATTGATATCTGCTCTCGTCTCATTATGGTTTTTCATCAATGTTTCTTGCAGCTTCATCATCAATTCCTGTAAAGTAAGCAGAATTGATTGGATATTGGCATTCGAGATGTTAGCTTTTTTCTCCACTGGTAATGTTTCTTCAATGTTTTTTTTTTTGTGCCATGGGTGAAGCTGTTGCTGATGTGGTTGTTAACGTCGGGGTGACCTTTCTTCCAGTTTTCAGAGTTGCAGTTGTTGTGGAAGTCATTTCTTTTAAGATTTGTTTCTGTTGTTGTAATATATTAATTATATTATTCCAAATTAACATACAGTAATAGAATCTCTATATTAGGATTGACTGGTATCTAATTACTTAATCTATCTATCTGCTGGATATCTGTACTCTTTACCAATTACTGGAGTATAATTTCATATAGATAAAAATATTATCACTGTATTATTTTAAATCCAAATTCTAATCACATATATAATTTTGTAAGGCCTCAATGCTCAGCCTCTATACATGACTTCACACAATAGAAAAATTATATAAATATTATATCCAAATCCAACTATATTTAAATATTATAAATAAATATATGCATTATCTAACCTTATTTTGAATATTCTTAAACACAAACGGTATTACATTCATCCCCAAGTGGATTAATTAAATATTTAGAGTGATCGCACAATGAATTGTAATATTAATATATGAAATCCTTTATAGTTATTAATTAAATAATACTTAATGTTCTTACTATTTTTCCTATATATCTAATCAAAGTATATCACTATTATTAATAAATCAATTAAATCAATTAATTCAATTATTTAACAACCAATTACAACAATCAATTTTTCTTTCCCTAGTATACATATTTATAAACATTATAAAGAGAGATTGAAAAAGGAGAGATAGTTCATCATAGTGCTGGAAGGTGGGGGAATAAAGAAAAATGAGCAGATGTATACAGGAAAAAGGGAGTAAAGAAGGGGAAAAAGGAGTTTTAAGGTAAGTTTTTAGCTTTCTGTCTTTAAGTTTTAAGAGCTTACACTCCAAACGCACCTTTTTCAATTTATATGCTGGCCATCTGCCTGGTTTGTTTGCATTTTTGAAGAAATTCTGTTTAGCTCTCCAAATTTTTGTGCCAATTTTTCTTTTTCCATTAACCCCAACTTGTGTTTAACTACTTCCATTTGGTTTTTAATCTCCTTCTTTTGTGGATATCTTTGTAGTTCTTCCTCCAGTTTCTTGTAGTCTTCCTCCAATTTTTGTTGTGTTTGTCTTTTTTTAAATATTCCTTCTTCTTTTATAATTTATAATCAAACCTCTGGTGTAGGCCTTCATTGTATCCCATACATTTTGTAGTAAAGTTTCTTCCTTGTTATTTTCTTTGAAAAAAAAAAAGCTAGTTCCTTTTCCATATTTTATATAAATTCTTTTTCCTTCAAGAATGAGTTGTTCAAAGTCCATCTTGATCTTTTCTTTTGACCCTGCCATTTGACCCATACTGGGTTATGGTCCACCCAAGTACTTGTTTCTATAGTTACTTCTTGAATGTTGGAGATTAGCTCTATTGACATCCAAATCATATCAATTTTTGACCTTGATAAATGTCTATTGGAATAAAATGTATATTGTCCATTCTTAGAGTTCATTTCCCTCCAAACATCTTGGATGCTTAATTCCTCTACCATTTTGAAAAAGGATTTCAGGAGTGTCTTTCCATTTTGTTTATTTGTGTTCTGTGTTTTATAATCCAACTTTGTATCCACTATCACATTAAAATCTCCCAAAATACATATATTATCATATTCCAATTCTATTATTTTCTTATGCAATTTTTTGTAAAATTCTTCTTGCTTTTCATTTGGTGCATAAATTTCTACTAAAAGTATCTTTAAGTTGTTGTCAATTATTTTCACCATCAATATTCTTCCTTCTTCATCTGTATAAATTAATTTAGATTTGATTGTGTTTTTAATATATAGAGCTACTCCTCTTTTATTTTGTTGTGCCAATGAAGTGTATACATTCCCAATTCTAGGATAGTTCAATACTTGGACATGTTGTTTTTTAATATGGACTTCTTACAAGCAGATTATATCTAATTTTAATTTTTCTAGTTTATGAAATTTTTTTTTTCTTTTGATGGCTGAATTCAGTCCATTTATATTTATTGTAATCAATTTTTTTCTTTCATTTTTTATACTTTATATGTAGGGTTTATTGCTCTCGTTATCTTTTGCTCTTTTGGTTCTTTTGGTTCTACCCTTCCACCTATTGCACCTTCTTCTCGTATCTTTTCATCTCTTTTTTCTTTATCTCTTACTTCAACCATCTCCTCTCAAAGTTTAACTATTTCCTTGTCTCACTTCTCTTTTTCTTTTCTGCTGTAATATTCACCATAAAATAATTCTGCTCTCTCTATTGAGTCCAATCTGTGCCTTTACTCTTGCCAAGTAAATATTTTTGGGGGGTTTGTCAATTGCTTACAAGATAATAGTTATAAGTAAAAACATAGTTATGAATACATGGATACATATAAGAAAAATAAAAGAAACAATAGGACAGGGATGGTAGGCACATTGGGTTTTCTATAAAAATACTGAAGTCTGTAGAGATTCTCAGTCATCTAGGTCATGACTGTCCCAAAAGTGCTTTACCTGGAGGGAACTAGACTTTCTTGTTTGTTCTTTGCGGTTTTGCTCCGCATTAGGAAGGCTTCTCCCTGGGTGGTCGAATGCATCAAGAAAGACACCAACGCAGGTTCTATCTTGGGTGAGCTGCCCCTCTCATAAGCTCGGGGAAGCTCTTTTATTAAAAAATACACAGTGATACGTCACAAGCAGTGAAGTCTATCCAATCATTAAGTTACATGAGTAGGAATATTAGTGCACACATAGTAACATCCAATCACAGTTACATGGTCAGTTTAAAAGGTACTAAGTAGCAAATCAGCGCTTACATTCCAGTTATTTGCCCATGATGACGTGTTTGTTGATTGATGTTGTCTGTTCCTGGTACGCGCTTTCAACCTATGTGAGGCCTAGCCTGTACCGAAGTTGTAGAAACTAATTTATTACTGCAGTTCTTTGAAGATGTTTTGCTTCTCATCCAAGAAGCTTCTTTAGGTCTGACAGGATGGTGGGGAATGGAAGGATTTATATTCCTTGCATCTATAATTCACTCCCTTCTTAATTTAAATGTTCATCAAGAATTGATATTCTCTTCTCAAATCTCTCACTTTTCTCAGTACTTGTTTTAAGACTGTTATCTCCTTTCCTTTATATTTCAATGGGTCATCCCTTGCTCTCTGTAGTATTTCTGTTTTGTTTGCTTTCTTTGTAAATCTCACGTGGGTTTCTCTAGGTAGTTTCTTTTTCATGGCATATCTTGTATACACTCAGAAAACTTCAACTATTCCATCCATCATTTTTTCTTTGGATATCTCCAAGGCTCCTGCCAGTATTTCTATCATTATTTCTGCAAGATTTTCTCCTTTTTCTTCCTTGGTATTTTGAAATCTCAAATAGAAATCTTCCCTATTCATCTCCCAAGCAATCATTCCTTTTTCCTTGTCTCGTTCAACTGCTATAAGCCTATTATCAATTTCTCCAACTTTTTTCTCTGTCTGGTCTCCTTTTTCTTCTATTTCTTGAAATCTATCTTCATTCTTCATCATCATTTGTTGTATATTCTCTACTTTCTCATCTGTTTTCCCTGTTCTCTCTTTTATTCTTTCCATTCTATCTTCCAAGCATTTTCCTTGTTCTTGTATTGCTTGCATTATCATATGTAATGTAACCTCCTTTTCCTTCTCCTTCTCCTTCTCCTTCTCTCTTTTTCTTTCTCTTTCTCCTGCTGTAACATGGTGTGAATTGGCCACTGCCTAGCTGGGCTTAGAGAGGAGGAGGTAGGAATTGATGAGCCTGTAGTAGCTGTCTTCCTCATCTCTGATTGATTACAATCCTAGTCAAAAAAAATCTGCTTACAACACCTGGAACAATCTTCTTCTATACATTAATCCCATTATAAGGGGGAAAGGATTGGAAATAAAAAGAAAAAGAAAAGAAAAAAATTATGAAGAAAAACCAATTTCACCCAAACATCCAGAGACTAAAATATAAAAACATAAAAAGCAAGAAAGGTGTGAAAGAATCTTTAAATATATAACAGTAATCCACAAATAGTATTAAAAGGGAAAGAAAAAAGAAAAAAAGAGTTGTATTCCAACAGTAGGGCTAAAGTCAAATTGAAGGTTTAAAAAGAGCCAGAAAGATCAGGCCAAGAATGACGACCAGCCATCAAAAAAAGAGAGAGAGAAAGGTATAATTGCAGTTTAAAAATGTGTCATAGAGTAAATCACTGCCACCATGCAACGTCCAAGGCACACTATCAGAATTTCAACAAAATATAATCCAAGGTCACAATAGTCTCTTTTCTTTCAACTTCAATCTCCAGCCACTTAAATTGTTTTACAAGAGGAGCACCTGCATAAACATTTCTTCAGTGCTCAACTCTCTAACTTCTCTTAATGTAAACAGTCTGTGACTGGGATAATTTTCTCACAATTTATTCCTTCAGTTCCTTTGAAAAGATTTTTTAAGTCTCTAGGTGGCAGTGTTACTTTACTTGACTTGACTTTCACTCCTTTGTTACAGTTAATCAGGAAAGGAAAAAAAATCTAAAAAGTTTCTAAAGTAAAAGATTCCCTTTAAGGAGGAAAAAAGAAAACCAACAAAAAATTCAAAGTCTTTCTTTAAAATAAGTGTTAATAATTGTCTTTCTTTAATTATAGTTATAAAGTCCAGTCCAGTTAAGAAATAAATCCTTATTAAAAATGCAGTAAAATAGTTCTAATTGATTTTGGCTGAAGGTTCAATTTCATCGCTTGTTTCCTCTTCTGTCTTCTATATTCTTAAAATATCTCTCCCCCCCTCCCCCAGGGTGTTCTCTTATTTCTTGCCAGAAAAAAAAATTAAAATCTCACCCAAAGCTGACACATTTTCTTTCTTCTTCTTCCCTTCTGAAGCTGTCCCAACCTTTCAGCAGCTTCAATGGCCACTTTCCTCTGCAGCCAGATTGGAGAGCTTTTCCTGGATCAACCAGGGACTTTGTGGTGTCCCTGGGATTGACAGGATGTGCTCTCCTCGACTACCAACTCTACCGTCTGGTTTGGTTCCAATTGAACCTTCTAGCTGTGAGGATATTGATGCCGGTCCCGGAGCCCTGGAATCACTTGTCATATCATTGTGACATCAGCCCGCCCTCCTGGCATTCCACTAGATTTCTATTGATTTTTTAAAGCTTTATATCCATCTTTCCCCTAGTTATTTTATAGAAAAGTATGAATTTTCCACCCCTGTGTTAATGATGTGGACTTATCATTAACCCAGTTCTTAGCTCTTCCCCCATCCATGGTGGACAGGATTGAGGATGGAATTTCTTAAAATTGGAGGTGATACAAATCCCAAATGATGAAACTGCTGTAGAACTTGCTTCAGTCAAGTCTTCTCACTTGATCCATATTTTACCTCCTACAGTTTGGACTGCTACTATGATGGTAACCCCAATTCTGTTAACATCATTCTGAGACAGTATTATGCTGTAAGATAAAAGGTCCTGGAGGAGGCAGCTGTGCAGTTGTTAATGTCTAATTCAGTTAATCAGCACCCAGAAGTCAATTTTATTTTTGTTTGCTAATTATATTAACAAGCACACAGAAGCCAGTTTTATTTTGGTGTATAAGACTCTTGAGGGCAACAAAATAGATTTAATTTAAAAAACATAATAGGAATCTCTTCAACTTCAGATTGCTATTTCATCACATGAAAATTAGTGGGACAGCTTTTGTTCAGTGAAGAGATATTAACACTCTTAAAGCATATAACAGAAGACAGAATCTGTGGAAGAAATAGTAAGTTACTTATGTACAGAAAGCTTAACTGAAAAGGCATTTCCTTCTTTAAAGCAGCATATTGGCATTTATTTAAATATGTCTGGCTTGTTATATCTCTGCCTTGGATTCATATTTTTTTCCATTTTGCAGAGAATTTAATTAAATGATAACATAGTGTTCAGATATGACAGCAATAGAAGTTAGGCTATTTTAGGGAACACGACAAAAGTTTCTTAAAGATTAAGAATTGTGGACTTAAGAAAGTAGATTTAAAGGTATTATGAATCAGAATTCCATTTGTTAGAGATTTCAATGCAGATAGTAAACAATGATTTTAGTAAATCATTAACATGTTGATATATTTCCCACATTATCATTATAAAGAATGAAATATAGTTATAATGTGCAAAAATCTAGATCAAATGTTCAGGCCTGTAAAAAAATTTCAAATGAAATTGATTGAATGGGTGAACTGATCAATAATATGGAAATTAGCATCAGCAAAGTCATTTCACTAATGGACAGTAATATTTCTATTTTTCATTTTTAAAAACATTTCAGTGTTATCATTGAAAATGTGGGTACATAGCATTCCACATTGTTTAAATAAAGAGTGAGATATCAGAGTTCATAGCTGTAATAATTTGTTTCTCATTTTCTGGCCAAACTCTCCTGGAGGGAATGTAGGTTTGTATTTGATGAGATATTACTTTTTAATTGTAAGCTATTACTTTCCTTATGATTGTTAGAAAAGTGGATGTATTGATTTATTCTGGTAATTTACCTATTAGGTTAAAAGGTTATATGGTTGTTGTTTTTTGCTAATTATCTGCTAAGGTAATAGAAAATATTTCTGTCTGGCACATCACACACAGAGACACAGACAGACACACATGCACATTGTACAAGTGAAAAATTTCTGCCTTCAAAATTTCCAAGTAAAACACTTAATTTATTTTTTACATTTATTTGCTAGATTTTCATTGCACAAAGCACTATACATAGGATGTTCCCCAATTTTCCAACACTATCACAAATCTATACAAGTAGTGAAAGATTATGATGGATTCAAATATTGCCAGTACTCTTTCATAATTGAAACTGGACTTGATCAATATTTTCCTAATCTTTAGCAATTATTTTGATCAGTAAAGGACAAAGGTATGCTCTAATATGCCCATCCTACTTGTATTTCTTTCAGGCTCTGATCCTCTATGCATTCTGTCCATGGTTTCTAATTGTTTCTAATTGTTTTCTGTTTTCATCACATATCAAAATGCCACTTCCAAACTTTTATCTAATTCTATTTTACTTCTCTGCTTTCTTGCAGCTAAGCCTGCAGCTTTATCATAAGTGAAACATGGATAATCACACCACGGTGTCCTATTTTCTGCTCCTGGAATTTTCAAACAGTCGGCATCTACAACTTTTACATTTCTTCTTCTTTTTCTTGTTATATCTAGCAATTGTAACAACAAATCTTCTCATCATCTGTGCTGTTGCATTTGACCATCATCTACATAGCGGCATGTATTTCTTTCTAATGAATTTGGCTCTACAAGATGTAGGTTCTGTTTCTGTCATTGTCCCCAAATCCATGATAAATTCCCTCCTGGACACAAGACACATTTCTTACTTTGGCTGTGTTGCTCAAGTCTTTCTCTTTGTCTCCTTTCTGGGTTCTAATGTATCCCTCCTGACAGTCATGGCATATGATCGGTATGTTGCCATTTGCCATCCACTGCACTATGAAACAGTAATGAATTGGAAAGCCTGCATTGAAATATTGATGCTGGTATGGGTTACTAGTCTTCTCTATGGAATGTTGCATACAATTGGCACATTTTCATTCTTTTTTTGTTCTAACGTGGTCAACCAATTTTTCTGTGAAATTCCACAATTGCTAAAACTCTCCTGCTCTGGGTTCAATCTAGTTGAAGCTGGAGTTCTTGTAGCCAGTGCTACTGCAGGATTAGGTTGTTTTACGTTTATTATTGTATCTTATGCCATGATATTCAAGGCAGTGCTAAGAATCTCTTCTGAACAAGGAAGGCAAAAAGCCTTATCAACTTGTATTCCCCACCTCATAGTAGTGTCAATGATTTTATTGACTGGATGTTTTGCCTATTTGATCCCTCCTTCTAATACCCCATCATACTTAGATTTGTGGTTGACTATTCTGTATTCCCTTCTTCCACCACTGTTCAATCCAATTATCTATAGCATGAGGAATAAGAATATCAAATATGTCCTTTCTAAAGTGTGGAGATTCTGAAAAAAAATCTTTGAATGTTGCTTCTACTCTGGTCATTACAATTTTGTATTTTCTTGACTTTTATGTTTCTGAGCAGAAAGAAGTTAGAAAGAAGTATATAATTGGGACATAGGTGAAGATAACCTCTCAAACCACAAGAATAGTAGAACTGAAGAAGTTGCTGAGCAAATGTCATGCATCTCTAATTACTATCAATGTGCTTTAGAGATCCTAAATCTGAATGTTTGGCAGTTATATCACAGGCTGGCAAATCCTGGTTTTTACTGGAGTGAGGATCAGGGTGTAATGCAATTGGAAAAAACAGGTTTAACGGAGAGGAGGTTTAAACAATATGGTCAAATTTTCACTTTTATAAAATGTCTCCCCCTCCAATGTTTATGGCTAATTAAAGTTTCAGATTTTCAAAACAACAACAAACAAACATCAATCTCTATAATTCTTCTGTCTTTAAATGGTAATTTTCTGCACACATTGAATTTTTTTCATATTTGAGACAGCCTGAATTTCTGGTGTCTGCCAGGACAAGAAGTGGTTTTCCATTGCCATTGGTGTGGTGGTGGGGGAGAGATGTGTGTGTGTGAGAGAGAGTCCCATAGTCATACAGGTGGATTCATTCCTAAGGTTTCCAGCCAGTTAGCGTAAGTACTGCACTGCACCATTCAGAAATCTCACAACTTGATGTAAATTGGAAGAAATAATGCATGCATCCTTGTGCAATACTTGGGGAAGGGAGCACGCATAGACGTACACCAAGAATGATATCTTACTGAAATGTGATTAAGAAATATTGAGTTTCATTCAAGTTAGTGATAAGGTGCAGTATACCAAAGCCATATCCAGGTTTAATGTTATCTCTGCCCCCATCTGACAAATATTGTTATAAATGAATAAAAGATGGAAGATTTGCTAAATATTTTGGGGCTTGAATGAGTGTATTTGAGAAAGGTGCCGTATACTTTTTAGACAACATCAGTATCATCCTTTGAGGAGGTTGATGGCTAAAGGGATTTCAGCTGAAAGGTTATTACAGTTTCTCCTACATTTATAATCATCGATTGAATATTGCTGTCTTGCATTCCTGCCTGATCTGTGGATATTTCTTATCTACATTATACTTTGCAGTTAAAGTTGTTATTTTTCTCTGCTTTACTTAATGATCCCTTTCATCTTTACACAGATATTATTTTCTAATGCATTAACCTTTTATTCACATTTGGTGTGTTGCAGAAAGGAATGAGTCCAAATTCTTCAAGAATTGTTTTTCCTAATTCTAGTTCTATCTAGAGATGTCAATATGAGCCATTAGTGTTTACTGAAGCAAGTAGCATTCTATCAAGAATCAAAAGATTCTTGAAGTCTTTTAAGGACCTAGGAGTACTTAAATCATCTAAGCCCCCCAAGCTCACTCTAACAGCATTGCCAAAAAGGCTTTAAGAAATGTTAACCTTATTTTGCAAAGCTTCTTCTCCAGCAGCATTGAATTGTTCACTAGGGCATGCAAAACATTTGCCAGACCAATTCTGAAATACAACCATTATATTTTTATATTTATCTTTTAGAATAAATGTCAGCAGAAGAATACATGGTGATATTTTTATTTTATTCCTTTACTTAATTTTCACATCTCCCTCAGCGATGGACTCTGGGTTGTATATAATAAAATATTTTAAAAAGGTTTAAAAAGTTAAGAATTTAGAAAGAGGCTAGTATTAAATGCTGATAAAATTAATTGAAAGATGAAGGGAGGGATTTCAGGGCACTGGCCAGAATCAGTGATGTGTGTTCCTCTGGTTCCCCATATGAGACTATAGCACCATGCTTGATACTCTTTTGGAATGAATATGGGGGCCTGCATCACCTATGAGGTGAGAATATTCCATAGGAGAGGGGCAAAGGCCAAGAAGGCTTTTTTCCTGGACCTCACCAGTTGAAGTTCTTTAACTGACAGGCTCTGCAACATACCTTCCCCGCCTGACTAAGTGAAATGTGCCCATGTAGTGGATGAAGATGGTTCTATAGATAGCCTGGCCCCAAGCCATGTAGATCTTTAATAACCTATATTATAACTATTATACTTATAGGTCCTTGAATTGGACCTGGAATCAAACTGCCACCCAATGCAGTTGGGTGTTATCTTCTTCTTTGGGCATGCAGCCTTATTCTGTACCAGCATAAGTTTCTGGATACTCTTCAAGGATAGCACCATGTAGGTAGCCAACATTACTATACTGCAAATTGAAGGTGACCAGGGCATACATGACCAAGTGGAGAGCCTCTCTATCCAGGAAAGGATCAAAACACAATCTGAAGCTGAGCAAATCCCTCCTAAGCATGGTTGCTCCAGCTCTTTAAGCAGGAGTTGGAGTCCAGGAGGACTCCACTAGGTTTCTGTGAGTGTCCTTAAACTTCTTTTCTATCTTTTCTCTTAAATTTTCCATTTCTCTGTTCATGATGGGTTAAGTTCATAGCTCTTACCCAGTTGTCATGGATAGAACAGATGATGGGTTCTTAAAAGGTAGATAGAGTGAGGAAATCTGTTATAGAATATGCTTCAGATAAGTCTTCTCATTTGATCAATATTTCACACATTTTGGACTACTGCTATGACTGCATTCCAAATTCTGTTTACATTATTCTGAGATATTATTAAGCAATGTAATTAGCGGTCTAGTATTCTGAGATTATAGTTATTGGTCAGTTATGTTAATCAGCACACAGAAATCAATTTTATTTTGGTATACAAGACCCTTGGGGGAAACAAAACAGATATTAATAAGCATTCAGAATAAGAACATCTTAGACTGCAGATACCTGTTTCACTACATGACACTTAGTGGGGCAGCATTTATTTAATGGAGAGATAATTAATATTCTTCCAAGCATATATATCAGAAGACAAAAATTATGGAGAAAAGTCTCTTACAGATTGAACGTGTAACAGAAAAATAATTTCCTTCTTTACTGAAGCAAAATGGTATTTATTTAAATATATCTGATGTGATATCATTATAAATTTTGACTTTATACATTTCCCACTGGGAAGAGAATTGAATTAAATGATTGCATAAAGTAGTATTCTGATGCAATGAAAAAATAGTTTTTTGGGACAGGCAACATTTTTTAACATTATTTTTCAAAAATTTGGAGATTTAAATATATTATGAATCAAAATCCAATCTGCAGAGATTTCTAAATTGTAGCTGTAAATATACCTTTTAAGCTATAATTTGCAGAAATTTAGACCAGGTCTCCAGGAATGTAAAATAATTTTGAAATGAATTGATCATTGATAAGAAAATTAGCAATTGCAAAATCATTTCACAATCTCCATAGATATGAATAAAGAGAAAGTAACATGTCTGAATGTCTTCTTTATTTGTTTCTATTTATTTCTTTAAATACTATTGTTGAAAACATAGGTTCACATTTGAAGAAATCTTGGTATTTCCAAGTTCATAACTGTAATAGATTGTGTATTGTTTTTTGGGCACTGTCTCCTGGAAAAAATATAGATGTATATTGGATGGGAGACTTCTTTTTCAAATTGAGTTTTCATTTTCCTTCTAATTATTGGACAATGGGATTTATTAATTTATTCCTGCTAATATCTCATTTCTTTTGATTAAGTGCCCTTTACAGTACAGTAGTACAGTTTTGTTTAATATTACCAAGCAAATATCAAAATAACAGTTAATTGGTAAGTAAAGTTGTATTTTTCTTCTTTAAAAAATAATATACAATTAAATACATGATTAGGAGTCTCGTATTTATGTATTGTTTTAAAGGCTATCTATCCTATTTTTTTCAGCCAAAAAGCTGCTAGAGGAAAAAAGAACATTTCTATGTGTATTTCATATAAACACACACACACACACACACACACACACACACACACACACTCACATTACACATGAGGGCAATTTCTGCCCTTAAGATTTTGAAGTAAAAGGGATTGCAATGTATTTTAATATTTATTTGCTAAATATACACTGTCTTTCCTCTAGAAGCACAGAGCACATTCATGGAACATAGCATAATAGAGTTGGAAGGGATCTCAGAGGTCTTCTAGACCAACCCCCTGATTGAGCAGGAGACCCTATATCATTTCAGACAAATGGTTGTCCAGTCTCTTTTTTGAAAGTCTTCAGTGATGGAGCACCCACAGTTTATGAAAGCAAATAATTAAATTGATTAATTGCTCTCACCATTCGCAAATTTCTCTTTAATTCTAGGTTGCTTCTCTCCATGATTAGTTTCCAACCATCATTTCTTGTCTTGCCTATATACATCACACATCCTTTAATTTCCCAACACTTGAACAATTTTGTACAAGTGGTGAGGAATTGTGACTTGTTCAAATAGTCCCAGTAATCTTCCATGGTTGACAATTGAGTCAGATGGGTTTTTTCTAATTTTAGGTACTCCTTTTGATAAGTACATAAAATAACAGAACTGGAAGAAGAATTAATGGGGAAATGTGCAGTAAGTAGTTGTTTCTTTAGAACAGATGGATAGAAATTGACAAGTGTATGCTCTAATAACACATATGCCCATCCTATATTTATTTTTCCTATGCTCTGATCTTCTATTCATCCTCTATTTCTTCTGTCAATGCTTTATTTTTACTTTCATTTTCTGATCTCAACACATATCAAAATGCTACTTACCAAATTTTATCTAATTGTATCTTCTCTGCTTCCTTGCAGTTATGCCATGCAATTTTGTTGTGAATGAAACATGAATAATCAAACCACAATGCCTTATTTTCTGCTCTTGAAATTTTCAGTAACTAGGCAATTGCAACTGTTACATTTCTTTTTATTTTTTGTGTTGTACCTGGCAATTATAACAGCAAATCTTCTCATCATCTCTGTAATAGCTTTTGACCGGCAACTACACAAACCCATGTACTTCTTTCTGATGAATTTGGCTCTACAAGATGTAGGTTCTGTTTCTGTCATTGTTCCCAAATCCATGGTGAATTCCCTCATAGATACCAGATACATTTCTTACTTTGGTTGTGTTGTTCAGGTTTTTCTCTTTGTCTCCTTTCTGGGTTCTAATGTATCCCTCCTGACAGTCATGGCATATGATCGGTATGTTGCCATTTGCCATCCACTGCACTATGAGAAGGTTATGAACTGAAAAGCCTGCACTGAAATGATGATTCCGGTGTGGGCTGCTAATCTTGCCTATGGAATGTTGCATACAATTGGCACATTTTCATTCTTTTTTTTGTTCTAACGTGGTCAACCAATTTTTCTGTGAAATTCCACAGTTGCTAAAACTCTCCTGCTCTGGGTTCAATCTAGTTGAAGCTGGAGTTCTTGTAGCCAGTGCTATTGTAGGATTAGGTTGTTTTACATTTATTATTGTATCTTATGCCATGATATTCAAGGCAGTGCTAAGAATCTCTTCTGAACAAGGAAGGCAAAAAGCCTTATCAACTTGTATTCCACATTTTATAGTAGTATCTATGTTTTTAGTAACTGGAATCTTTGCCTACCTGAGACCTTCCTCTAACACCAGTTCTTACCTAGTTTTTGGGGTGACTGTTCTGTATTCAATTCTTCCACCCCTGTTCAATCCAATCATCTATAGCATGAGGAATAAGAATATCAAATATGTCCTGTCTAAACTGTGCAGATTTTGAAAATTTTGTTTATTGTGGTTTCTATTATTTTCACCACAATTTTTCCTTTTTCTTTTTTTCTTTCCTTTTTGTCCCCCCCCCCCCCCCCGCTTTAATTCTCTGAATAAAAGATTAAGTTAAAATGGGAGACATAGCTATGAAGGGGGATAATTCCACCTCTCAATCAAGGAGAGTGGTAGAAAATTGCTTAGCAAAAATCCTACATCCTTACTTACTATTAATGCACTTTATAGATGCTAAATATGTTTGGCAGCTCTGGCATGGCACAGGCTGATAACTCCTGTTTCTTATTGAAGTGACATTGTGATATAATGTGATAGTAGAAATCAATTGTAATTGCAAGAAGGTTTAAGTTATGCCATCTATTTTCCCCTCGCCTTTCCTGAATAAAATTGGCTTTCCCTTATTAGTGCATCAATTTTATTAATGTGTCCTATATCATGATTTAGAAGACAGTGTGAAAAATGTGCTCTCTGAGTTTAGTGATTTTCTTGCAGATTTTTCATTACCAAAATTCTTGCAGATTTTTCATTACCATTTTTCATTATCTAGGTTGGTAATGAAATATCTGCAAGGAAAACACCAAGCTCAAAGAGCACCAAAGACCCTACAGTTCAATGTTGAGCTACAAATTTCTATTACTGTGGAAAATACATTCTAGGCAAAGAAGGCAGAGTGTTAGAGAGGTTTCCATATTTTATTTAACTACATGCCTGGTTTATCTGAGAACCCACTTTAATATTCAATTTTATTTTGATTCAACATTGACTTTCCTATATTAATTTCTTCTACCCTTGCTCAATCCAATCATCTATAGCATCAAAAATAGGAATATGATATATGTGAAAATGTGACTTTTGTGATTATAAATACAGTATATCATCTTGCATATTGAAAAATGAAATAAAATATAGAAATCTGGATTGATTATTTCATTATAAGTGAATTTTGCTGAATTTATCCACTCAGGTGCACTCCTGGTATGTAAAACCTTTGAGATAATTGCATTGGAACCATTTTAGATGAGTCTGGTAACATTCTTGGAATTCAAGGTTTTAGCAGAATCTGGTTATTTCTTCAAAACCATGATGTGTTTATTATGTCAGTGCTACTCAGGTTCTTCTACATGTAAACGTATGGGGGCCATAATGCATATGAAAAGGAGAGAAAAAACCTATATCACAAAGGTATGACACTATTTCATTATTTGCCCCACTTTTTCCATCATTATTGGAATAGAAAATGACATATAAAGAAAGAATAATAGATTATCTGGCTGTAATGGCAAAAAGTAATACAAGTTCATCCTGTAAAACAAGGCATCCAATTATGCAGTTGAACATATATATGCCTTGTAGTTTACCTATCCATTTCAAGCATTAAAAAAGTGGTAAGAGAAAAGATGAATAAGAAGAAGCCTAACATCTGCACAGACTTGTCATATAATGAAGCTATAACTCTGTTTTAAATTTAATAGTAGGCAAGTTAACTTTTCATCCTGGTAGCTGATATACAGTTATGTGAAAAAGTAAATACTATCTCGTTGTGCTCTATGGTTTTACATATCAGGACAGAATAAAAATCATCTGGTCTTTAGCAGTTCTTAGAAGTAGGAAAATACAACCACAGTTAAACAACAACACATGATGTGTTATACCATGTCATTATTTATTTTACAAAAAGAAAACAAAAATTAAGAAGCACAATATAATTTAAAGAGGATGTAGTTACTTTTTCACATGACTGTATATTCAACTATTTATTTGCAGTGCACCTTCATATCAGATATGGAGTTGTTAGCAATTTGCGCAGTGCTTTTCTCCAAGATGATGCAGTAGGAAGATGCATTTAAAATATACATTATTTCAATATGGATCTATATATTAAAGTCTACTACATTATGAAGACAGCAATGACAAATTTTGATCAGTACTAGCTTTTCAAACACTTCCAAAGTTCCTTTTATTTTTCTCAAATCTGAAGAAATAATAAAACATTATCTCTACAAATAACCAGATCTACAGAAATATATGCTATCTGTTAGCTGTGTGAAATGGACCAGGTCATGAAATAGTGATAACATTATTCTGATCTGCAAGTTCTAATCATGAAAGTCAAGGAACACATGAGAAAAAAATGGGACAAAATTTAAATATAAAGAAGTTGAGACTAATGACAATATGTACATTGACTACACTTAGAATTGACATTGAGAAGGATTCCCAGGAGAGGTATAGTGAACTGAAGATGGCTTTGTGAAACCAGAGCTAGTGTTCACAACAAAGCCAAGGAATTGATGAGGAGACCAATTTCTTGGAATTTCTCTAGATAAGGATAGTAAAGGAAATCAGCCACATGTGTTCCAGATAGCTGTTTCTTATGTGGAGACCACATAATGAAAATATGCCAATTGCCCAAAAAGTTTGGAGATCCCTAATTCCTGGTACAGCTCCATTTAATTATTACATGCTGTAGCTTTCTCGTTCATAGCAAAAACCCACAAAATAATGGAGAAGCTAGCACTGGAATTTGTCTGGTATTTGAGAGCTTATCATTAGTTTTAAAAAGTTGAATAAAGAAGTGCATAATAAACATTGAAAGTAGCAAAAACAGAGAATGATCTATCTTTTATTTTATGTAATAGAGGAAGAGGGAATCTATCAAAATGGACAGAAGCCAAGGCACTTTCTATGCTATGCAAAATGAATTTATGGAACTCACATGACACAAGATATGAAGATAATCAAAAAGTAAGATGCTATTAAAATGGAGGATACAATCTCTTAAAAGCTGAAAATAAAATAACATCTCATGTTATGAGACTTGTCCCAAACAGGCTTCATGCAAGTCTTTTCAATTCATCCATGCTTAAAATCCTGGTATTCTACAGATCCAATTATGAGATGTTAATATGCAATGGAATAAATGGTGCCAGAGCATTCTAAATAGCTATGAAATTACAAATTGTTCATGATGTTAACAAACATACAGCAATTAATTTTAATTTGGTGCACATGAGCTCTGAGAGACACAAAAATATACACATTTTTTTAATATAAACCTTTTATTTCACTGTAGACGGGTTCCTAAAAATGAGCAACATACCATTAATTTTTAATATTCTGAAGAATATACATTAGAATAAAAATATTTTATGCAGAAAAATAGTAAGTCATAAGAAAAAAAATGCTTTTCTGCCAGTAATTTATTTTACTGCGAAACTTGCTTCTATAATTTGCAGATTTAAAAGAGGATTTCATCAGCTCTTTCACAAGCTTATGCTGTGATATAGAACAAAATATGTTATTTGGGGGAATACAATAGAGTTGTTTTTGCTGAAAATTTTGACTTCAAACATTGGATTTAACATAATTATGAATCAGAATAAAAGCATGAGAATCTTTAAAAGTTAGGCGTTATTACATATTTATCATATTAGTGCTTTCGAATGCTGATTGTAGAGATTGTAAAGATATTTACAATTTACAAAAATATACATCTCAAACCATCATGCAAAAAAGAGAGTATTGAAATGAAATTTCCTGGATAAACCGATAGGTAAATTAGCTTCCTTTGAACATAAAACATATTTATATTGACAATCTGAAACTATTACTTTTGATTGAAGAAAGCATTCTAAAACCTAGCTAGAAATATATATGAAAATATATAGCCCTAAACATGTGGAAAAACTGAAGAACTCATATCACTTTCCAGCGTGAAGCATCATAAACCTGTTCACGCATCTGGTATGTAATGACAATTGAAACCTTTATGGATATGAATAGAACAATGGATGGTAACATATCAAAATGCATTTTTATTCTTTGTTTTTAAACATTTAAATATGGTTGGGAATATGTATCTACATTGTGGGAAGAAATGCTGCATTGTCAGAATTCATAGTTATCATATGATGCAATAAGTAGAATCTGTTAAGAAGAAAAAGTATTTGTTTATCACAAAAAACACTCACACATGCACACATGCACACTAACTAAAACAATGTGGTATTTTCTGTCCTGAAGATTTCCTATAAACCTAGCAATTTATTTTTATATTTATTTGCTGGATTTACATGCCCTTTCTTCTAAATGCACAAAGTATATATAAAGCACATCCTCCAATTTTCCAACACTACCACAAGCTTGTACAAGTGGTGAGAGATTGTGACTGGTTCAAATATATTCAGTAAACTTCCATGGTTGAAAATGGACTGGAACAGGGTTTTCCTAATCCCAGTATTCCTTTTGATAAGTACATGAATTAACAGAACTGAAAGATGGAAGAAGGAGATATTGAAGTTGGTGGTTGGTTCCTGAGTAAAATGAATATAAATTGACAGTGCAGTCTAATTGATATTGATATTTTCCATAGTGTGATCTTCTGTTTATTCTCTCCATGTTTTATGTTTCTTTTTGTTTTCTACTCTCAATATCAAAAAGCCACTTCTCAAATTTTGTCTAATTGCATCTCCATCCTCTGCTTCCTTGCAATTTTGCCATGCAGCTTTGTCATAAATGAAATACGAATAATCAAACTGTAGTGTCTTACTTTTTGCTCCTGCAATTCTCAAAAAATCAACATCTGCAGATTTTATATTTTTTCATGTTCTTTGTGTTATATTTAGCAACTCTAACAACAAATCTTCTGATCATCGACTGCATAGACCCATGTATTTCTTTCTAATGAATTTGGCACTGCAGGGCCTAGGCTTTGTTTCTGTGACTTTTCCAACATCCATGGTGAATTTCCTCCTAGATACCAGATACATTTCTTACTTGTGTTGTGTTGCTTAAATCTTTCTATTTATCTCCTTTACAGCTTCTGATTTCTTCCTCCTCACAGCAATGGCATATGATTGATATGTTGCAATTTGTAACCCATTCCAATCAATTTAACTACTGAATTGGTACCTTAAATAATCTCTGGAGTTGGGTTTCCAATGGGAGATTTTGGTGGGATTTGTTTCCTTCTGCAGAAAAAAAGGCAGCCCCAAT